TAGGGCTGTGGCCGTTGACGAACGTAGATCGATAAGAATAAATTAAAAATGAAAAGAAAGATGAACAAAACATTTACACCGGCACCACTTGGCAGATTTCTAGGTTTTTTCGTTTCTAAGGATATTCTACTGCACAACTCATTAATTTAGCAGTTTATGTTGAACGAGAAATTAGCCGGGTTCAACGTTGCTACATTCAAAGACGATCGCAAAGAATACTTTCTTATTCCTTCGAAATAAATGTTTCAACCTGTCGCTGGGTGCCACGAATTATTGGACCACATTTTGCAACGTGGGACTACTATTTCTAGTTTACTTTAGAAACAGGGTAAGTGCCATTAGATCCCTCGAGCAGGAGGGTGCTTCCAAGAATGACCCACAAATAGCAGTTCCTTAACGCAAAACGTAATCTAATAGTCGTTCATACTCCGCGACCTCAATATTGAGAAAATCTCGCACACACTCCATAGAGTAAAAGCGTGCTGTCTCCACGCGTCGGAAGTCAAAAGAGGATGGATATACTGATGAACAATGTATTTCTGTTTCAGGGCAATTACCCGATCAAATGGAAAGTCTGGAATGAGCAAAATGAAGAATGTTGTTTTATGTACTTCATGAAACTTAGGTAGAAATGAATTCTGAACCCAAAGAAAGAAAACGCGTTGTTTGTAGGTCTCTTACGATAGAGATTGTTCCTATGTCAGTTGTCCCATGGATGGAGTACATTTTAGTGCCTTGTAGGATGGACAAAAGGAAAGCTCGATACGGATGTCACAAGTGAGAAATCTCCATTTCAAAATTATATTCAGGGAGGGTACCCCTCTCCTCTCTGGCTTTTCCTGACGATGCCCTTCCATAAGTTTTCCCCCTCGATGATTGGAACAAAAATCCAAACCGAAACATGACCAAAAATTGAAAAAGGTACTTCCGTATTGAGCACTCCTTTTGCCCATCCCTATCTTCATGCAGCACAGCAGTCGGTCTGAAAAGCAGAAAGACATGCCGCATGAACGCGCTTTTTTTACAGGCATAATGTTGAATAATTCACTTTGAACGTTTGTATCAGTTAGCAGATTTTGCTTGTCAAAAAGAAGCTGCCTTTGCATGTTTAATATCTCTTCATATTCAATTGTGACTGTTCCTTGCAGTTATTTCAAATACAAAATAAACAAGGAATATGTGAAATCTGGTGTTCATTTCTCTGGGCAGGTCACTCGTCTGTTTCTCTTGTACATATACAATACTTCAGACACTAAACTATTGGAATTTGGAGTGTAGCCGAGTGCTAGAAATAATGTAAAATTTCTTTAAAAAACTTACATTTTATTAACAAACTTAGACCGAAGCTTTTTGAAGTAAACGCTTCATCGTCAGGGTCACACAATCGATTGTTATCAATTGTTACTATCAATGACATCTGTTACCTTGTTTGAAATTAAAATTATGGCCTTTGTGATATCGATTTGTGACCATGATGAAGCGTTTGCTTCGAGAAGCTTCGGTCTAAGTTTGTTAATAAAATGTAAGTTTTTTAAAGAAATTTTACATTATTTCTAGCACTCGGCTACACTCCAAATTCCAATATATTCAGTGATGCTGCCTTCAGGCATTGCATTACAATGTTCGCTGATATTGACTTAACTATGAGTTGTATCGATTTGATTATACGAACACTAAAAGAACACTGAAAGTGTGGCCCGAACTGTAAGTAACAAGATGATGTATTACACACTTAACATATGTATGTATGCTCGATTTAATTATACGAACACAAGAAAGACACCAAAAGTGTGGCCTGAACTATATGCACTATACCACAAGGTGGTAAAATTAGAGCTCATTAGAGCGCACATTTTTAGACTCTGATGGAAATTTTAAGCCTTGATCTCCCTGCCAAACAATGTGGCCGCTGCACTATTTTACCATATTCTTAATTACGACACTTGAACGTTTAATAAAAATAAAAAAGTTGTAGAATGTGAAGGAAACTGATCACCTTCGAATAAAGTAACTATCATCTGAATGTGATGCCAAAAACTCGGCATAATATGATAGAATCTGCCAGTCCGTAATAAGTCGTTGCACTGGTCACAGAATCGTGTTTTGATGCTAGATTAAATTGGTGATTAGTTTGAAATAATAAGACGTGTCCAAAAAGCAATTTTCTACGCTTCATGTTTACAGACGTATCGCGCTTTGAAAAACTCTGTTTATGACGTCATCCACCACAGTTGTGCATCGATGAATCGGTCCGGTTAACAATAACATGCTTATCACTCTTTGATGAAACCAGGGTGTAAAAAACCATGGTACAAAACGACCGCGGTGGATGACGTCACAAACCGAATTTTCAATGCGCGATATCTTGACAAGATCTCGATACACGATCAAATTCCCGAACCAATTATACCATCAAAGTGTCGGGAGAAATCAGTCTTGAAATCATTACTTACCTTACTTTTAAAATGAAAACTTGGCGGAGATGTTTCGTGCGGCCGTCAATGATGAATCGTGGCACGCGACTCTGATCCAAATTTGACGGCCCGTCCAATTTTGATCAGAAATGACTGTTGCATGGTGACAATCAATCATCGACTGGACTACTTTGATCAGAATTGGTTCGGAAGTTGATCGCGTATCCAATCCTTTCAATATTTCACTGGTAAAAAAGACCTCTTGGTTTAAGACTGCAATTTCTTGTCGCCGGATTTAAGAGTCTGGACTCTCGTTTCAATGCAAAATTCGCTTGAATCAATGCAAAATCCGCTTGAAACAAGAGTTCAAGACTCTTAAATCCGGCGACAAGAAACTGCACTCTTAAGTAAATGCACCGCGGCATTGGTCCAACAGATTTTTATTACCAGTGTTAACGTGGAAATTTGCTAATTGGAAGGCTCTTATCATTTTCGGCTAGCCTACAAGGACCTAGCATCAAAACAAGATTCTGCGACTGGACTCATTGCAACCTACTACGCGAGGCGACCGATGGTCTGGCCGATCCGGAACGAGGACTCGGGGTTCGTCGCCCCCACGATGTTGTTGAGGGCACCCGCCGGACCGTCACTCGTCCCCACCGCGAGGCCGACCGTCACGACATCCGAGCCGGAGAGCCCCTCGATCTTCTTCAAGAACCCGCCGATCTTCTGCAGGACCCCCTCGGCGTCCGCCACCCGGTCGTCCTTCTCCAACGCCGCCGCGCTCACGGCCAGGCCCCCGATCTTCTCGACGGCGCCGGCGGCCGACGCGAGCCCGCCCGCCGCGGCCAGGCCGGCCACGCTCTTCAGGTCGACCAGACGTCGGACCCCGGGCACGCGGCTCAGGACCCGCTCGTTCGCCCGACACACGGCGCCCACCACGCTGGCCGTCTCGGCGACGGCCGAGGCTCCCAGGTCCACGGCCGAGCTCCCCACGTTCCCCGCCAGGTGTCGCAGACGATGGAGATTGTCCATGTTCGCGTTGTGGACCCGCACCATCGAGTTGAACGCGCTCGTGCTTAGCTGCGTGGTGAATCCGTTGAAGAAGCCCAGGAGGAGGCCCACCGCGCTTACGGCTTTCCCGGCCACTTCGTCCAACGAGCTGACGACGCTCATGACGGAGTTCTTCGCCATGGTCGAGATGCTGGGTATCGGTGAGGATTCGGATGGACTTATCTTTGGCGTGCTGGCTGTCGGTGAGAACCTCGTTCGCGCAGCCGCTGATCGATACCGCAGGCTCCTGTATGGTGACTCCTCGAATCCCTCATTCATGTCGGCTTGTAGTCCGCGGCTGTTCGATGACCCTTCAAGGAACCCTGAATTGGCGGTTGGTAGAGAAATCGCAATCGGACCGGCATGGCAGCCATCCTGCAAAAAATCAGGGACCGAGATGTGATCATTGGTGGCTAAGGGAAAATACCGCCTTACGGACGATTTTGGCCAAGAGATAGCTATATGAGAACTTAGTTTTCGTGTTTTTTAAATTTTTTCCGCGTGGACAATCGTTAATTTCAACATTTCGCGTAGACACCCGAACTACTTTTACGAACAGATTCAAGTTTTAATGTGATAAATGTGATGTGTATTAAGCATGACTTAAGATGCACCCCATGGAGCGAAACGTCGCGTGTCGCAGTGAGGAATGCGTTACAATTTGGCTGCAAGCTGAAAACAAGGTTTTTGTAAAAATTACAGCCATAAAATCGTAATGTGGGAACTAATATGTAACAATAGCGGTTGCTGACATCCGCCACCCGAGAAGAAATGGATCATTCAAGCTTGTTGAAAAATGAACGATCCAGATCATTCAATTTGAATGAGTTTTTCGCCAGCTCATTCAAATTTGAAGGATCCAGGGAAATTCTTTGGTACACTGAGAAAAAGCTATGGTTTATAAACCTATTAGTGGTAAATATGGAACACCTATAATAGTCGTAAATAAACTAATGATTCTCGGTCTGTGAACCATACTAAGGTCTCTGTACCTAATTAAGGTACAGAGACCATAACTAAGGTATATGTGCTATTATTATATGTAGAGGTACTACTATTAGTGGTGTTCCATATTTACCTCTAATAGGTTTATAAGCCATAGTTTTTTCTCAGTGTATATGGGCTGCTGAATTTCGGGATGAAATTCGGAGGGTAGCTGGGGCACTAATAGAGAAAGATAACTGTGAAATTTCAAGTGTAGGAAATGAATATTAAGTAAGTTACGAGCTTTGAAAGCTTCGAAAATAACACACAAATCGTCGCTGCTCAGCGACGAGGACTACGCAGCAACTGCCGGTATGTCACCGCCACGCTCGAACCGAAGAAGCGCGATCTCTCGTGACTCATCGTGAAAAGTATACGTACGAAGCACCTACTGACGCCCTCCCATCCTAATCGTATTAACTAATCCTACATGCAGGTGAGATAAACAAAGTAAGGATAAGATAATTAATAATCTGTTGATAATCATCTAATATGTTCTTTTTTCTTTCGTAGTTTCCGTTTATCAACAAGTCGAACTCGCGCCCGATTAATTTATTACGGTTGAGTGAAATACTGAGTACTGTAAGGAATCAACGCGGGAATTTATATTAGAACATTCAATTATCGAACGCTCAAAAAAATGTCCTTTTCGTCGGAACGATGTGAAAATTGATTATTCAAGAGCGGAAATTATGGGCGAATTCAGATGCCAAAAAAGTCACGCATCACGCGGCAATAATATTCGCAGATCCCGCGCTGAAGGCACATGGTTTGATAACGCGAAATTAGGCGTTCGAAAAGCGATATTAGTTACACATTGTTTCGCATATAAATTTAAATACGAAGACGCGAAATGCGAATGCGCACTAGCAGAAGATGATACCGAACTAAGCGACGCTACAATAGCGGATTGGTATAATTGGCTCACTCTTGATTGACTCACTCTATCTTGTTCAACTTGTTAACTATTTCTTTTCACACTCATGTTAGCATTTTCCTTTCTTTTTCTTTTGTAATGTTATCTAGTTTAATTTATGATTATATTATGTTACTTATCTATTGGTTATTGGGTTCCAGACCCACATATTAGATATTGGATTTTCTTTTTGTGTTAATAAGATATGTTTTGGGGCCCCTGTGGCCCTGTATATCTTTGTATAAGTTGTTTTGAAATAAATAAATAAATAAATAAATAAATAAATAATTATTGCCGACACATTTGTTGCTTAGCCTTAGATCGTGATTGCGAAGACGAGGGCCCAATCGGTGGGGACGGCCATATAGTAGAGATCGATGAAATGAAGTTAGGCCGCCAAAAATACCATAGAGATCGAATTGTAGATGGACGTACGACGCTGTTATGAATTATAATTAATGCAAATTCAATATCAAAATTACAAAAATTGCGAAGTTTCAATTACGTCTTGTAAAACCATCATTTACGTCATATATTATACGGCATTAATAGAAAACCATCAATATGATTTGACTTGTCCTTGTTGCATCGCGCATTAGAAATGCATTATTTCTAATGCACCCTCTACCGATTGCATTGGAATAATCCTCAGTTCCACGTTCCACTTGTGCCCCACACAGTGTTGCCGATCAGTTGTTCAAGATTTGACCTTGAAACCAGCTGCCTACCAATGAGCTAGCAGTAAGCAGAACGGTTCGGTCTCGTGTGAGCAGCGTTGAAGCGGCGATAGGATAGGAGCGCAATCCACCGAAAATTAG